TGGGGGTTGAGCTGAAAGTGGGGGTTTGTCTTTACTCAGAGAAAGACGGGAGAGGTGCAGGCCTGACAATGAATTGTAATGGTGGGAGCAGTCATATGTCTGTGGGGGGGTGGAGGGGGGTTTCTGGGGGGCGCCACACCAAGAGGTGGCGGACCAGCACCTCAGCAGGTGGCTGGATGGATAGTGGCGCTTGAATGTGATTGAGTGCCGGGCGGGCGCAGTGACTCAGAAATGCACCCAGGCCTCTTGTGGTTTCCTTTCATAGCTTCCCAGACACTGGGCGGATTGTAGTTTCCAAATTTAACAAGAAAAGCGCAGGTGCTGGTGAAAGAGTTTGGGTTTTCTTGATTTTTGCCAAGCAAGTTCCTGAAATAACCAGATGATAGACTTCTCCGGAGGCCTGTCTGTCTTTAAATCCCTACCGTCACCGTGCAGCAAAGCATCTTGGACGCTGTTTGTTAGCGTACGAAACAAAGGCGCAGGCTCTTTTGTTCACATTCAGCCTTTTCCCCCCTCTCAGACTGTGACTGTACACTGAGGGACAGCTGTTCAAAGAGTCTCTGAAGTTTAACACGTTTCCTAGAGTTCAAGACAGTCGCGTTTCTTAGAAGGTCACCAAGATTCAGACGGGTCGTGGGGAAACTGTTCAAATCACAGCGCAGCAGATATCAATGCGCATGAGTGAAGATGAACCTTAATTGGGAAAACGTGCTGTTGTTGCTTGCAGATGGGGGAGCAATCGGGTTATGAGTGAACAGCTCCAGACATACTGTACCACAGACAACTCACGTCAAGGCAAGAACAGATCCCAGTGCTCTTCATAGCCACACCAGTACCTGAAGTACAGGCATCAACAGTAAGAAGGGAATTTTAAAAGTACTGGGCAGAAGTATAGTAAAGCTCACTTATTTGTATTGTTGGCCAAAATACATGTTTTCCCTAATGTTGTTGTTTTCAATACAAGGGAAGAAAATGTTTTGACATCTGTTCTTTCACTCAAATCCTTTTTGATTTCTAGGAATTTGCTCTTAAGTGCTGGAGACATTTGGGTTTCACGTCGTGAGCTCATGCCTTCCCACAATTGGTGTATTTTGCGAAAAGATCCTTAACTTCAGCTGGGATGGGGACCTATCAAAAAGAGCAGCCTGTCTTCTCAATGGGCCCGTTGAAAGGATAAAAAAAAATTCACAGAAAAGAATCATTCTCCCTTATCTCGTCGTATGTATTAAGAAAACAATTATGTCTGCATTCCAGAAACAGTGTTCATAATTACGGTCTCCTCTGTATTGACTCCATTGTGAACAAAGAAGAGCTGTAAACTGGGGTGCACCAGCTCAGTGAATTTTATCATGGGACACTCAGCTTACATGCACCCCTGCTTAGGCTACTTTATTCATCTTGGGCCTGCACAATTATATTTTGTTTACACCCACTTGCAGTTTATTTTAGGAGTGAAAATCTCCTTTCACTTGCACGACAAGACCACTTTTACACGGAGACTTGTGTTTTAAGCTCGTCCTCTGCCTGTTTGTTTCGTTTTCTGCCTACAAACCTTCTGCTTCTAAAAGCCCAAAGGAAACCCGAGCGGCAAAATCGTGAGAGGATTGATCCGTCCTTCCTAAAAACCTGACTGAGGGACACGGGCAGCTCCTTGGGGGATGAGAGAGGGAGCTCCAGGGATCAGTCTGGGACGAGGGGGCTAGGCTCACGTGACCGGGAGCCCGTCTGGTCAAGCTCAAGCCTGGCTGTTTGTTGTGCAGAGACCCAGACTGCAGGTGCTTAATGCATGAGTGTATGCTGACTCAATTCGAGTGTGTTTGGCTGATTCACATGTAGATGTTCCCTTTTTTCTTGTCTAAATGTCTCGGTTCCCTCTTGAGTTATCACAGAAGGGCGAGCTGCAGCAGCAGCTCTTGCCAGAGGGCTTCCATGAAATAAGGTAATGGATCTCAAACAGGAGAAATTCTTCTTTGGGAACTCTTTCAGTCATCTCTGTAAAACGGCCTGCAATGCACTGTGGCGTGAACAGAAAGCTTTTGTATTTCTCCCCAAAGATCGTCTTGTGGTGTGAAAAACCCTGTCTTTTCCCCCTCATGAGCAGACCATTACTTTGAATTATGAAAAAAAGGAAATCTGTGATTATAAGACATGTATGTTACATGAATTACATTAATTCTGTACAGTACAGGCAGTGCAGTGGAACAGCAGTCAGCACAGCTGCCTCACACCTGGTGGATCCTGAGTTCCTGTGTGGACTGGGAGACCTTCTGTGTGGAGTTTGCATGTTCTGCCAGGTACTTGTGTTCATTTTGTAAAGGTGCTCTGATTTGTCTCCACTTTCCTTGCTAGAGAGGTTAGTTGATGTCTCTAAATGATTCTAGTTAGTGTGAACATGGCGTCCAAGAAAGAAAGGCTCCAGGTTGCTGCACCTCTTACCAGGAGCAAGGAGCTTTCTGATAATGAATACATGCCTTAGTTTGGCACAGGGTGCAACTGGCTTATCCCTAAGGGGCGAATCAATGGCTGAGACCTGCTAGGGTTTGAGACAGAAGGCATCTGAAAGTGTCTCTGACTAAAGTAAAACTCCAAACTCTTTTGATTTTTAAAAAAAGTATTTAACAGAACTAGATAACGAAAAATATCTAGTATCGATGAAGTAGCAAACTTTGACAGTTTTACAAATATATAGCTTACGAGGTTGCAACACGCGCATTTTACTAGAGCAGTAGAAGGATACACATTAATTTCCTCGAAACAAAGCCCATCTCAATCAGCGTGTTTGACTTTCTTCTTTTGGGTTTGAGAGATCAAAGTCAGAGAGGTGTTTAATCTCTCCAGGTTTGGTTTATGATGTAAGAAAAAAAGATACATTTACATCTGCTGTTGTGAAAATGCTGCATTTTGTGGTTTGTCACCTGCAGCTTAAAAGAAAAACGTGCTCTACTTTTGTTTATGCCAGGGCAGAAAAAAAACAAATAATATTTTTTGTACTCGTGGAAGCATAGCAGTTGTTTTTGCAAGCAAAGCCATGGTACAGGCTGGGAATGCAAATATGTAAAGTAAATGCTTTAAAGAACATCTCACACAACATTACGAAAACTCATCTTCTTAAATGCTTTGCCGCTTGTTCAACTGGAGAAATTAGTAAACCTTACGATATGTGAGTTATGTCGGCATTCAGTGAATGACAAGAGTCGAGTCCACGTCATCACAACTTCTCTCCAGCTCCCACCTGCGTTTGCGTGTTTGTTCTGGTGGGGACTGGAAATTACACTGTTCCCTTGGCCAGGTCTGAGACCAGGAGGTCTAAGATATTTATGAGCGAATTGATTTAAGAATCTCATCCAGTGGTTTCTTCAGAGCAGCCAGGGCATCGACTTCAACAACATGGCTGGGCAGCTTGTTCCATACCTCCACAACCCTTTGGGTAAAGAACTGCTTCTTATCCTCTGTTACAGTTATAAATACACTTCCACTCAGTTTCCCACTGTGCTGTCTGGTTTGTGTTTCACGGTTTTATTCTGAAGAAATCCACTGGCTTGACTTTGTTTATGCATTTGTGCAGAAACAAAGCATAGGGAGGAATAAATAAACAAAGGAAATGATTAATTATTGTAAGGGAGCAAGAAGAGTGAGCAATGCCCTGGTGATCTTGCATGACCAGTGAAAGTGGGAAACTCAATACATGCTGTCAGGAGTAAGTTTTGGAAAGACTAAAGAACAAGATACAGGTAGAATGGCAACATTTATTCTGCGGCTACAGTGAGTTTGTAAGAGGGTAAACATAACTCATAACAAATTGTTCTTTTTTGTGGCATGTGTGAAAATGTCAAAAACCTGTAAAGATAATTAAAAAATGTGAATCATGCAAAAGAAAAAAAACATGTTTTGTTGTGGCCAGAGTGATACCTTGTGGAGCCTGAAATGCAAAATAAGGTGGGAACAGCAGTCATTATATGAGCAAGTGATATATTGGCTTTGTTTGAAACACCCACCAGAGAAACACGTGGTGGCCTTATCTTCTTAACATTTCATTTCCACGAAAAAAACGTCTTTCGTCAAACCTAAAAACGATCATGTCTAATGTTATTTTTAATCATAAATGAACATCTTCAAAGCCACGCCAAACAACCCTGTGCTATTTACCAATCCCTGAAATTGTTTATCTTTCAAATAAATGACAGCAAGCTGTCTGTGGTCGGCCACAGAGAGCAGCCAGGCTGGTGACTTCCCCCTGATAGATTAGATTCTAAATTGTCAAAAGCCAGGTAGTATCTTAAATCTTCATCACGCATGGGGAAAAAATATGAGAACTGTGATTTTTTTCTGTTAGTCATTTTAAAAAGAATGGGTTGCGCCCCATCTCGTCTTAATGGTGGTGCTCTGGGTATGCTGCTGTTGCCTGAAGAGCTCCACCCAAGCGTGATGCAGTTGCTGATGCCAGTGTGGGGTCCCAGTGCCTGCTATTCTGGTGGGCGTTGTTTCGGAAGCTCCGCGCTGACACACTCACATGCTGACAGGTCTGGCCAGTTCAGAAGCGCGGTTCTGCCGATTGCTAACACTGCATTTAGGTTTCTGGTGTATGAGGACAAGAAGCGTCTCGCAAGCTATCGTGCCCGGCCTTTGTTGCAAATAAACAAAGCAGTCAAAGTCTTCCTGAAATCTGAAATCTTAATATCCGCCGGATCTTTCCCTTTTAACGAGTACGGCGTGTTAACCCATTTGACCTGGTTTAGTTCCACACTGGAGATCACATGTCTGGCCTCCCCTTAATTCAACTCCACCAGCAGTGACTCTGCGTTCCTCCTGAGGGTACTGAGACCCCTGCTCAAGAGCGGCGGTGGTACTTCCCGAGTGGATGAAGTGGGCCCTCTCCTGTATGCTAAACATTTTGGGATCCTCTGGGGGTGAAATCCACTATATCAATGCAAGGATTTATTATGATCATTTTTAGTTCTGATGCCAGTTGCCTTACATTTCCTATTTCTCTCTCATTTCAGCGCAAGATGGAAATGGAGGAAAACCAGGCTTCCTATAAGATATTCAATATCAGAAGATATCTGGAGTGAATGGTGGGTTGTGCTTTTGTAATTAACTGATCTGTCTGTAGAGCCTACAGAGTTATAAGAATTTCAAACTATTGGCTTGTTTTAATTTCCCTTGGATTGATAGATTCTGAGCTCTCAATGTCGTTCAGGGAAGTCTAACAAGAATGTAAGAAACCAGCTCCATTTTTCTCTAATGGTCAGATCCTGCATCTTAGGCTGTATACTACTGTACTTTACAATGCTTTTAACTAAAGACAGTGAGCACACAAATAGAGTTAACACACAGAAAAGGTTTACAGACTTACTTTGATCTAATTTGGGTTTGCAAACTGCTGAAATATTTCCAGCTTGTTATCCAGTTTCGGTGTAAATGTTTGTACATTTGAAAATGTCATCATTTCCCTCCTGCCCCTTCAGTATAATGATGACATTATTCAACATTTATGTTGCAGCGGGATACCTACTCCGTGAGTCTTGTTAGACTATATTATATTCCTTCATTTTTATCCTTTTCCTTGTTGTCTCCTTGGCCTCTTCTCAGTGAGACTTGTTTCAAAATATTGTTAGAACAGGGGAAAAAAAAATATCTATGCCTTACATTGTCTGGTTTGCTCCTGATTGGTACCGATAATTGGTGAAATATCGTGAAGGCCCCACACTTGATCTTATACCAGTTACTTGTTTTGGAACACTGGAGTCAATAAGCTTGTCCTTTCTGAGAGCTCTTCCAGCGTGTTCACTGGATGCTCTCGTCGGGATGGTGCTGGTGGCCTTTGGAAATGTGACAAGGCTTCAGCCCTCAGAGGCCCCACCTCTCATTTTGCGGCAAGAGAAAAAAAAAATCAAAAAAAGAAACAGACCCCAAGGTTTAATCCGCTTCTGGTTTATGACCGTAAAAATCTATTTTAAATCTCGTTCTGAGAAACCTGCCCCACTCCCCTCACCTTTGGGACGCGGCCCAGCTATTAAATGTTTAAAATTGTTTTTCTTTTCTATTTTCTTGGCCACTCGGTAACCGGGAGGCACTTTTCCTGGGACACAGCTATACGTTGTCTATCCGACGTATGGTGAACTTTCAAAATAAACCGAAACGGAAATAAGTGTGCTACTCCTGTTAAACTGTAGTACTGGAGTTGACCTGGGACTGCACCACACTGTACAGTCTCTGAACAGGTGCACTATTTGAGAAAGACAAATTTGAGGTTTGTGAAGTCATAACAGAATAGTCTAGTCAGTGAAAACAATAAATCTAACTAGATTCTTGTGGAAATGTGAACTTGCTGTGCAGACTTTCCATTGTAAATGTTCAGAAGGGTCCTTGTTTGCACGCTAAGGGCTTCACTGGCTAACAGAGTATCAAATATATAAAGTATGCTGTTTCCAACCACTATACTGAAACCCTTATTGTCCTGATTTCTTGTTCTCTAAATAAAAGGAACTCGTTTTTTCCTGGTGATATGACTGTCCTGACCACAGCTTCACATGTTTGCTTCACAAGCTACACTGACTGGTCATTTGCATTTCCCTAACTGAGATATCCTGCGTCAGAAAGAGTGCTGGGCTAAAGAGACCGCTCTGAGATCACAGCAGCACTGCTCATCTCAGTGAATAGCCACAATCATACAGTATTTAACGTCTTTGAAATATCAGCTTACGAATGCCATTCAGACAGCGGCTAAAATGTCCAGGGACCTTCTACACAAAGAGAAGAAGAATGGTTTTGTGCGGAAAATGACAAGAAGCCAAAAAAGAGACTTTTTTTGTAATCTTGGCTGAGCTGCCAGTGGGAGTTTTAAAAAGGCTCCAGCTCAGTTAGGATCTGAAGCTGGCGTGATTCTGTGCCTGCTGGTATCTGTACAAGATCTTTAATCCTTTCACACCTGCCTCTTACATGTTCAAAAGGAGGTTTTTCTTACATGTGCTCCTTGAATGGATTGATGGCTGGGTTTGGAGTTCAGGGAGAATAGGTGACAAAGGTGACAATAGGTGATTTTGTCTACTGTGAAAAAGTCATAACTTATATTCTTCTTAAGAATATAGCATCTCAGTGTGTCTTTTCTTGCAGTCCATATCCTAATATTCTTATAACCTGACTTGACCATAAGCTGACAGCAGTGGACCTGGAGGTCATCACTTGGGTCTGCGGTGGGGTAACCATCAGTCTCGAAGGGTAGAGACCTAGATTCAGCAGAGAACTGAGCATGTCAACGTTTAAGAGTTGTCATAGACATTCCCTGTGTCCAAATCTTTCAGCCCCCATCTGAAGAGACTTTCAGCTTTTGCCCAACCTTTCCTCAGCTGTAGATTAATCCCCCCCTTCACTGAAAAAAGTGTGTGGAACTTTGTGGTAGTTATTAGCTCCAAAATGAAAGAAATCATTGCAAGGTTAGTTGGAGTATCTATGGGATGACGGGTGGATCAGTGCCTTGCAGAGATACTGTAGATGATTTCTGTACAGGGTTGGACAGGTGACATGTGGAGTGCGCATTGTGGTTGCAATGGTTTAATATATATGCACCCTAAATTCTTCAACCTTTGGCAATCCGTCCTTCACCCTGGCTGTGCTCCGAAGGGCCCATTCCATGACCTTGGATAGATACATGTGGGATGTGCTTGTTTAGGCGTGGCTACAGTGCTCACTGGTTATATCTGCTTCTGCCATAAGTGCTTCAAATAAGTGATTTCACTCTGGAAATGGGCTAATGGGTCAAGTGTGGTTGAATGTATTCGCCTCTGAGGTTTGAATCAATAATGTGAAAAGGAAATTGGAAGACTGTATGTTCTTGTCTTTGCCTTTTTGACATGGTATTTTATTCTGGCTACTGTACAAACCTGCTTCACAAGAAAATCTCTGTTATGTTTTGGACCAAGAGCTGGTTTTCACTCTGACACAAAGGGTGGCAGTTCTTCTGCAGCTGACTCACCACCCCATTTCCTATTACTCACAAAGTATTCAGGCAAAGCACCTGGCCTCAGTAGCCTCATATCACTGTCTGACTGCACTAGTTCTGCTGTAGCTGAAAGCCATGTGAAAAACAAATAAGAGTGCTGTTCAGTCTTATCTTTAGGGCCACGTCTTCAAAGATCACCCTCAAAGAACAGGAAGCCTCTTGCCATATGACTGACCATAGCAGGTGCTGAGCATTTGCACAAGATGAGCCTTGTGCTGCTATAGAATTCTCAGCATTAGAGGATGCTGGAAGAATAAAATGTTCCAAATGTGTTTGTTTTTCCTGCATCTGTTATTTTGTTATGACGTAAAGACAGTGTGAATTATTACAAATTAATCTGCTATATTTTGACAAGGGATTGTTATTGTGGACTACAAATAGCTGCGGCAGTCTTCACTGTTTTAGTATTAAATAACATTCCTTAACTGTCCTTATAAAAAGCTTCTGTGATCAGTATTTTAAATGTGAAATATTAACACCTGTAACAAGATTGACGCAAACCCAATTAAAATATTCAAGCTTAAGAGTTTCTGGGGAAACAATGTTTTTCAGTGAAGTGGACTGGATTATGTAATCCATTGAACTAGTAGATAGGAAACGTTCCCATCTGTAATCCATGCTGCGGTTTAAAGATCTGAATTTTCATTGGTATAAAGGTGATGTACAGGGCAAATACCATGCAATGTTAGCGTTTTTTCCTTTGGAGGGGGAGTTTTGTCAGACTTTTTCAAGTTTATGAAATACTTTCTCTCCATAAGGAAAATGTTCTGTTTTGAGTTTTAATCCATTGCAAAGACAGGATTTGAGAGAACCTTTTTCAAAGAGAAGAACAATGAACACAAAATGTGTACATGAGCAAATGATTTGAAACTTGTCATTATTAATTAGTTTGTGGTCCTGCTTCTTTAGAAAAGTTATTTTTTGATCTTTCAAAAGAATGGCGAAAGTGAGTGGTGCAAGCTTGCGTATGTTATTAATTGTTGTTGTATGTGTAATGGCATCTTATGAGCTCATAATGTTGTGCAGTATTTAACAGGATGGTCTAACAAGCTGCAGGGTTCATTTAATGCTCAGTTACATGGTGCACATTTGAACACGATGCACTATGAGTGACTAAGTAAGGTGGCACATTCAGGCTCATAAACGTGGATGGTGATACATTGTAGTCCAGCAAGGTAACATTTTCCATCCCATCGAAGAAAGCAGCTTGTTCCTAGTAAGGGTCACGACAATCCCGAAGCCCATCCTGGGAACACAGGAAATATGGGATTCACAGACGTTTCTGGAAGTCAGTCCAGTCTGGTTATACTGCACACCTTAAAATCAGTTAGGCAAGGTATTGTTTCCAACAGTTTTAAAACAACACACTGGCTTCTGAAGCCTATTTTGATAGCTTGCTCCTGCCTTGTATTGAAATATTTGCCTTGACTTTGTAGCTATCAGTTATACAGGTGTTTGCCACAGAAAGCTGCAAAGGTTTCATTAATTGAAGTATTTATTGATTGCATAATTTCTGAAATTACCGCAGTGTGATTGCTAGCCGTAAAAGCTCGTCTAAGACATTTTGAAAGTGCCTAAACGAAAGTGGTTTATTAATCACAAGAGCAATCATTTACCGTGATTCTCAAAAGTCCCCTCCTATTTGCAACATGAAGATTTTACACTGCCAAGGACTTTTCAAATTACAAGAATTATAGAAGAGCTGATCAGGAAATATGTGCAAAATAAGGCTGAATATGTTTAAAAATAACTTACAGTGCAAACAATTGACAACGTTTTTGATTATTTTTCTCTATACGTTTATGAATATTTCCAATATGGCAAAAATTAATTACAAAAATAATGAAAACTTCATTTTGTTTCTGTTTTAGGAGCGAAGCCATTGTCTGCTGGAGAAAATATACTGTAAAATATGACTGAAATCCTGTGAGTATTTTAAAACAGTGACATTTGTGCTAGCTGAATAATGGAGAGGTCAGAGGTAGATCGCACCTTAACAGCTCTATGTAAATGCGATCAATCCGTTTTTTTTTTTATTAAAGTTTGCACTAAGCAAGATCGAAAGTCTCAGATCTACATATTGAGTTTCTTTGGGAGAAGAAGGCAGGAAAAATTCTTTTTTACATCTAGAAGGCAATAGTTTTTTTCCTTAATTATAGTCTGGTGTAACTAGTCCCAATTCCAGCTGTATCTCAGCTCCATCACTCAAAGACACATTTGCAAAATCCTCCTAACGCATGTGGCACAAGATCTGTCACATCAGAAAGGCAGGATGAATACATCAGTCTGCCAAGTAATACAAGTCCCTTGCCACTTGTTTAGATTTGAATGTATTGCAGCTCAATTCTGAATGCCTTTGCAAATGTCTGAAGCTGTATATTGTTATGTAGCGTGCAGTGAAACAACATGAAGTGTCTCTTCTGCTGTAAGGCTGTACAGGGAGGTCCAGTAAGGTACTGTTTTTGTTACTCGCCAGTTCCCAGTCCAAGCCTTAGCCCTCAGCTTTGCCTATAGCTCTGGGTAACAAGCAGTGAGAAAGCTGCAGGAGCTCCAGAGGCTCAGTCCTTGGTGAAAACCAAGGGCCTGATGTACAGTAAGTGCAGCCAGCACCCCCTGTTTTCACTAGCTTGCTTTAGATACAAGTACCTACTGGATCTTGACTACTGTATATGTACAAATTTGCCATATAGGCAGCCTTTCACGTGCTGCTTGAGTTGATCAAATGTATTGCCTGAAATAAAATTACCCAAAACAACAAGAACAAAATGTCCTTGTCGCCATATAAGGCATCACGTCTCGGCGTTTGTTTACGGTGAAAAGCAGGGCCTCTCAACTTCCATTTTAGTCCCTTAAACCCTTTAAACTGGTCATTACACACTTCAGTTTGAAGCCTGACGTGGAGTGTATAATTTGACAGAAGCGTCTGCGAGCAAAACGGGAGCAGTTGGGATCGGGCCACGGGCTTTGTCACACGGCAGGAGAGTCCGTGGAGCCTCCCAGTATGGGATTGCAGAGGAGGTGCTGAGTGATTTACGACACTGTCATCCAGTTGGGCCGTGAGAGCTGCACTCTGAAGGATGCACACCATTTAAAAAAGAGGCTCGCAAAAGGAAGTTCCCAGGCTTAAAATAAGTGTGCGGGTGGACAGACTGGCAAAGCAACTTGCGATGATGTCCTCTTGAAGCACTGGTGTTCTTTATTCATTTACGGGTGTAAGTGAGGATGGGATTTTGTCTTTCATAGCCTGCTGCGGAGAACTGCCTTTTCAGAAAGAAATTAAAACAAAAAGTAATATCTTGCGATTGACCCTATGTATTTGTCAAGATTGTTTACAATCTGTTACAATCTGCGCCGTTCTTCACAGTACAATAATGAACACTCGCATCAAAACAAGTCCTTGCAAGTCATTTCCTTAAAAAAAAACTTTAACCAAACCAAATGTAAAATAAAAGTCAAGGAATATTTAGTAATGATTTGCGGGTTGTTGTTTTTTTTTTGTTCTGTTGATGGGGGGCGCAGGACCTTCGAGGTTGTCTGTTGCAGGCCTGCCTGCCTGGTGGCTGCAGTATCGGAGTGAACAGCTCTGCAGCCGGTAACACTTTGTTTCCTGGCTTCACCCATTGATCAAGGGATTTGTCGAGACCTTCTCATGTGGTCCACACTTGAGCCAGGAACCCCAGAACCCATGGAAGAAAGGAACCAGAGCCAGTAACAATGTGAGCTCCAGCTTTGTATTTGCTCTAGGGAAAAGTAACAGTGCAGAGTTGCTTTCATGATAGATTTATAAATTATATCATTCAGCGTTATGGTTTACATGTCCATTAGAATTAAACAGCCACGTTTAATTGCATTCATAAAAATTAACAGTGCAAGTATTGCACCAGATGTCTGTAAAAACAAAAGCAAGCTGATAATAATTACTGACTACAGACAACTAAGACTGAATAAACTGCATACAGTATGTCAGATTGAATTCAGTCTAATAAACTTGCTCTGCTCGTTTCTTGAAATTGCAGCAGATGATATGTCTTGGTAATGTGGAATTACAGTATGTGTTTGCAAGACAAGCTCAAGTTGAAGTTTTCTGCAGCAGCAGCCTGACACTTTTTGTTGAAAGCAACCTGCTCATTTTTGGTAGATGAAGGCAGTGAATCTGGTTGATATGGGGTTTCCAAAATACCTCTTTTAAACGGGAATTTTATTGTGTAAGAGGTGAGAGAGACTGGAACATGGGATAGACTTGGCAAGACTATTGTGCTCAGTAAGGTCCTTTTACAATCTCCCAGTGTCTCCAGACAAAAGTCCAAAAGGCAAAGAGCAAACATGTCACTGATTAATTCAGCTTGCAAAGTTTCATTTCTTTTAAGTTAACAAATTATTCAATCGCCAAGATCTTAAAATAGCTTTTGATGCAAAGATTTGGTTCTTTTTTTTAACATACAAAATGCTTACCTGGACTGACCCTTAAATGTCAAGAGATATTTCTAAAACAGAAACATTGAAACACTGAAGGAGTTACTATGCTGAGTGAGTAGAAGCCACAGTGTTCTGAAAATATCTGATGTGATTGATATTAGTCATAAACTAATGTTATGCAGTGAGAAATGATACAGAAACAGTTTTTTTTTCATTTATATATAGAGCGAAGATACCGTAATAGGTTCTACTGAAATGAGTCTGACTGAAGGTGATTAGTTTCGGTTTCTTTGCACCAATATTGAGTAAATCAGCAGCTTCAGAAGAAGAAAGTAGTGGAAAATAATAGCAGAACTTCTTGGAAGTTAATTTTATGTTGTAATATATTACATAAGTGAACACAGCTGGACAAGTGCTGCGGTCTGTCATCACTGCTCTCCACGTAGCTGGTAAATGGGGTGTTGTGTCCGAGGTGCCTTTTTCAGCTGTACCTCAAGCCTCCCTCCCCTCTCCGAGAACAGTAGTTACTGTCACGTTGGTTAAGAAGAGAAAGTGAGCCTGTTTCTGTAAAGGGCAGTTGAATATCAGGGTAAGTGTATATTCTAAGGGTCATCTGTGTAACGAATATGCCCCTGCGCATAACAGAGATCTTGTCCACCCGGGCTGAGGAAGGTCTTCTTTAGCTCAGCTGGCAAGACCCTTGTTGAGTGGCGCTGGAGACCCGGGTTCGTGCCCAGGCGGTGAGGGACGAACTAGGTTAGGAGCATCGAGGGCACAAGCCCGGGAACCCGAATCCGTTACAGTCTGGCAGGAGCTCGTTCTGGACACATCCAGCACAGCCTCACTTTGTCTGTTCTGGATATTCATCCACTGGGATCTGTCCTTTGTTTTTGGCCTTGAAATAACTTCCCGGGTCACCATTTTTTCAGGATTTCTGTTTTTGAAAATCGTGTGAAGAGCCCATAACATAAGACTAATCCCCCCCCTGTACGATATTGCTCAAACGGCAGGATCTTTTGGAGAGCATCCAGTATTTGTGTCTGCATGCTACTCTCCAGTACAACTGTGGTCACCTGCACATGAGTGTTCTGTAACCCCAGGTTACAGTCCTCTGATTTAAACTTCCTGGAGAGATAATGAAACATTATAGTTTGCGGGATGAACATCATCCTCATGTGTAGAAAGTTTGGCAATGGCTGTGTCAAATTGGCAGCCTAGCAGGTAAAGACTTTTTTTGAAATGTTTGTGCACCAGGTACAGAGGGTGTGCAGAGATCATTACTAACTCTTCTGCAGTCTTTCTTATTTAGTCCATACCACTCACGTAGTTGTTGGCTGTGTCATAAAAATGTGATTCTTCCAGAGGCTAACTTAGTGCTATTTTCAGATCATACAGCAAGTGAAGAATTTACTAAATGTCACATTTTAAAGATGACTGATATCCATAAATGCAAACTAGGTACAGTTCTTACACATATTGCTTTACAGCAGTAACATACTGTCTGTGTATCTGCACCAGTCGTTTTTTGAGATGATACCGTGCAATCAGATACTAGAAAGAGAAGCTGTCTCCCCTCCCCAGCTCCCTTCTGCTGCAGTGAGTAACTCTGAGCATTTTGACTTGCCTTTCTTGCTATTTCAAATTTGAAGAACACCGAATTCTTGACCAAACCTAATAGACAAAAACAGTTGCACTAATGTAGGCTAATATTTTGTGTGCTTAAAGAAGTATGTACAGTGCTTTGCAGAAGTATTTTGTTCTCTTATTACATATACAAACCATTTACATTTTAATATAAGTGAAATACTATGAATTGAGGTATGTGTGATATGCTAAATAGTACTGCTGCAGTTCTCTTTATATTTGTGAACTATTTGATCATTAAAGCAGATGATCTTTTACAGTATATTTAAAAAGAGAAGGAAGGAACTGATTTAGCTCAATTATTCTTGAACTGTGTAAAAAAACATAAACGGGGAACTTGCTGTGCATCTTCAGAAATATATTTAATCTTAAGAAATATAAGATGTTCAAAATGAGCCCTGCTGTGAATCTCTTTTGCTCCCTGCTCTCCCAGCACCTTCCTTTGCCAACTGCTGCTGTTTTCATCTGTTGTCTCATTGTAAGCCATTTTTTCCTTTCTTCCACTCCCTCTTTCCTCCATGTCAGCCCTCCACTGCCTCCTTTTCTCCTCCAGAGATCCTCCTCCACCTCACCCTTCTCCGATTCAGACTTCCCCTCCTCACTGAAGGGCCACTATGACCTCTGTTTCCACAATGGTTACCATCCATGTACACAGTAAATACTATATACAGTATATACAGAGCACGTGATATGACCATATAGCATAGCCTCATTGTTTAAGTGGTGGTAATCAGAAATACCTCTATTAGACTGGCCCAGGGCAGACATTACTCCTCTGTTCAGCGTTTGTCTAGATACAGGCTTCAAGCAGTCAGACACGCCAGTAGTTTCAGTTTATCTGGCAAAACTGTTAATCTCACTGAATTAGTAACAAGATGCTACCCTTTCTGACACAGTGGATTAGAGATTATCTTGGACATGAGTGAATAAGGTCTGTAGTGCACATTTAGAGCTTGTATGCAGATGCTGGTCAGTATTGAAAGATGTCAGTTTAAACCCTCTAATCCTTGCAGGGCAGAGGCAGGTTTCTCTCCTCAAGCTTTTTTACTTCTCTTATTTATGGTTCTAGTTCCCTGTTGAACTCTTCCCTTTGCTTGTAATTTCCTTGTAGTTGCTTTTATTAATGGTGGAAAGGACACAGCAGGAAGAAATCTAAAGAACATTAAAATGTCAAGTATTTTTGGCAAAGCCGGCAAATTGTCCTCAGAAATTGACATACTGTATTAAAAAAAAAATGCCTGTTAAAGTAACAAAGCTTGAAATCTTTTAGTTTTTAGTTTATTGTGTTTTATGTGAACTCTGTAGTCAGTTAAAGACTAATTCCTGTGTCCCCAACCCAAGATATAAAAAAAAAAAAAAGTTTCCCAGTCATTACCAATGTCAAATGCTGGCTTAATACCTGCAAGGATTGTGTGGTTTTGGCCCATAAAATGTGAGATAACTGTTGGCTATTAACTCAGCTTCACATTCATGAATAGGAATTTCCAAAAATCTTTTCCCAGCCAATGTTTTTTCCAAAAGTATTGCAGCGTATTCTTTAAGGAATTAAAAATAGGTGTTTTCATATGTATAATTACCAAGCTTTGGTAAAAATATCACATTCATTCCACAAATACAGCTCCTCACTGCACTGAAGAAGACTCTCACTGTCCTGCTTAAATTAAATAACTGAAATCCAGTCTCTTGAACACGTCAAATTCTTCCATTTCTAGGAATCCACTCATTTGTGAGGTTTTAAGCTTTAAAGTGCTCTACCCAAATTGCAGTATAATCAATTATTCCAGAAAATATGCAAAGATAAGCGAATGCAATTCTTCAGGGCATTCATGACTGGTGTGTGACCTCTTTGCTTAAATTGAGCTTGACATCTTTTCCACTCTCCCATACAGTTTGGTAATGAAGGATTGGCGAAGGTTGTTCCAAATATACTGTAACTATATATTTATAGATAAAGTAGAGACAGACGGCTATATAAACCATACCACCTGCTTTACTGTAGCTGCTCTACACTGTCCACCTTCCAGCAAGCTCCCACTGACTACTGGCTGAAACGTGGACTTTCTTCCAGGCTTGGTCATCCCATTCTTTCATTTCTGCTGCCTGTTTCAGCCTTTTTTCCTCTTTTCTTGCCCCTTCTCAGCAAAGGATTCCAAGCGGCTCTTTGCCCATAGGTGTGCGGAGGTGAAGCTTGTTGTTCTTGAAGATATGCTGAGGCCTGTTCTTGCTGTGTGATCATCCACCAGATTATTTCCGGGCTGTTGCAGGTCATGTGGGGAATTTCCACTGAGGAATTCTCCATCATATTTGGAGAGTTTTTTTTTTTTTTTGCTCCACCATGTCTGTTGTCCACAGTGCGAATTTCACTGATCATTTACAGGGCCTCATCTACTGTACAGTATGGCCCAGGGTGAAACGTGAAGTCAGGCTGTAGCCTGTCTGTAAGAGTGGCCTTCTTTCCATGAAGCAGTGCTTTGGACCCAACTTGTCACGTGTGATGTCCTTCCCAGGAGTGCTGTTGTTCACCGCAAGTTTCAGACTCTAAAGTCATCTCTCGGGCTATACTTACAGTACGTAGGCCTTGTGCTGGTTTGGTACAATCAGGTTGGCTGTTGGCCAGATGTCCCATCTCCCCATGGCACTACATTAGGCAGCATTTAATTTTTACACTTATCATTCGATCATGTGTAATTATTGCCATGTGAACTACAGTATTTCCAGAACACTATATATCACAATACTACAGGTACTATAATCTATATACTATAATCTTCCTTTTGGTTTGAATGCTGCGTAATATCATCCATTTGTGAACTTGTGACCTCCATAAGCACCTTTGGATGACAGGAGCTTAAAGGATATGGATCCTGGGATATCCCTCATATTTTTCCATTGTGTCTCGAGACCACAGTGGAGTGGTGGTTAGGAGCTCCTGCCCTGTGGGAGCTGTGCTGGTGTATCTTGGCGAATATGCTTCACTTGGGTTGCTCCAGTCCCAGGCCATGTTGTTTAATTGGGGAACCCTCTGGGTGCTAGTTGCACATGAGGATTTGTTCTCGGTTGCTTTATCTGACAGATTAAACAAAGCCTTTTGAAGTCTGATATGTGTTTCTCTTGTTTTATCTGTTAGAGTATCAAAGCCCTTCTGTACATCTGATCTTATTGCTATAAAGGGCTATTTGGCCCTTTATGTCATTGTTAAAAGAGAAGGAAGACTCCTCTTAAAAAAGACCTCATAAATGGTTTTATGAAATGTCCACCTGTATTGTGTGAAACGTCTGCAATTCAATTACCGTTTTGAATTGCTTTGAAAAAGTTGTCTGCTTGACGTATGCTGCACATGTTATTTTTGTAAGTGTTCAGCTCCTTGACCACATTACAGTCATCTTTGGGCGAGTGGGTGAAGATAAACAGATGATGAAAAGTATCGGTTACTCATAGGTAAACTTGTCATATTGGTTCAAGCATCTAATAACAGATGGAATAAATGTAGCACAAGCACGAGGTGTGTAAATAAGGTTCTGAGTAGCTGAAAGGCACGTCTCTTTACCTTTTTCTTCTTCACATTGATGCTATTGTTCCTGGTGTCACTTTAAACTAGTAATGAAATAATGTGCTCTCCATCCAGCCAAGGCCTCAATTAAAAAAGAGAACCTGATTCATTTTTGTTCCTGGTGCTCTCTGGAAAGCATTTCATAAGCTGTATTAAAAAAGATAAGGGAGAATAAAGCATCCTTATTATTACTGAAGTGAAGAAACTGGGGACAATGGAATTTGTGTTCTAAAATCATTTCTTTGTTACATTAAAAGAAGGTGGATAATTTATCTGCTGTAGTCAGTTTCCCTTGTGTGTTTAAGTTATTTGTGTTATTCTCAGTCCTTATCTTTGCCATCTTCTTTCATGTCAGCAGAGAAAATTTGGGCTGCTGGTCTTTTTCTCTCTAACAATTAAAAAATAGCTTTGACTTCTTCTTGAAGTAAGACTTGACCATTTGTCATCATATTCTTATCAAGGAAAGAAAAATAAAGGAGAAAATAATGTTTTCTCTACAACCATTCAAATAAGAGTTGTCTTCATGCTTAGGCCCCTTAAGTTCCAGTTATAACTTACTAAAATGTTTTGGGAACATGGGGGGTAGTTCAATTTCTTTGCAAACTTCTCCCATTTGATGCTACAGATGCTGCTTTTCTTCAACATTCATGTATATTTTCCTTTTTCGTTGCCTTGCTAATGACAGAGTTTTCGGTCCGATGAAGCAAGATGTTTGCTCAGCACTAATGCCACAGTGGAAAAATGGAAACCTAGTTTGTTTGATAAGGCTTTTTGGTAAACCAATGTGCTATGTTTCTAATTTTAAGCTAAAATTTCACGTGTAAGTTTTGAGCCCCCTCAGCAAATTATAAATGTCAGCTTTCTATGAATTCATTAAATTATTAAAGGCTTTCAGATTCTACATAAAATCTATTTGTGTAGTACCACTCAGCTCATTAAACTATTCCTTTATGGAGTTATACATGGTGTTAGGCGTTTTCCTACAAATACACCAACACCGGAACCAGAATATTTTGCATTTTTTACCTCAACTTTGTTTCTTCACTTATCTTAAACAAACATGTGCTGTCTCTCCTTCACTAATGTAGGGTCATTTTTACCAGTGCTTTCCATGCAGTTTAAGTGTCTTGAATCTCTGGTATGGCAGTTATCTTGTCATGACATTTGTCCAGTTTTCCACCCCAAACTCATCCCAAGAGAGGCTACTGCCTGGGAACTCTTTTTAGGAAGTGTCTATTTTTACTTAGCTGTTTTTTCCCAGAGATTCTTTCTTAACTTCTCCAAATTTGGCATAACGCCTGTTCTTCTGATCTGTGCACAGCTGTATGAAGAAGCAGTTGTGCCAGTTGTACTCAAATATATAAGTTAACAAACTGTTAAATAAAGAACAAATATCCTTACGCTGTAAACCTGCAACATGTACACAATATATTTTGTCTCTTTTTTTCTGCGTCTCTTTTAACAGATGCATCCAACTTGTGACTTCCTTGTAATGGCAGCTTGTTCATTCAATAAAACCCACAAGCAACTCTGTTTGTCACACTTAATTTAAGGGTCTTGGCTTTTATCAAGTTTTATCAAAAGAGCATCAAACGGTAACAAAAAGTTACGTAAAGTTCATACGTACTGTACAATTTAGTGTTGCAAAGATCTCAGAGCAAAGTGTTTCTCTTTCCTTCATCGAACCACTATAGAGCTGTGTTAGGTCTCAGAGCTGAATGCATCTTCTTTCATGGTGAGGCAACCAAGTGATACGTGCTGCATGCTTGTCTTTCTAGGGAGAGCACAGCTCGCCTTGATTATTTTGGGTCCGTGGAGTGCAGAAAGGGTGGGACTCCCGGTGGATGTAGAAAGACTTCCAAGCCTTGGTGTCACCCAGGAATCATCCCCAGCAAAGCAACCCTCGGAGACGGCGAGATCCTGAGAACTTGGCCAGTCATCTTGTGAGGTATGAAAAGAACGCTTCAAAGAGGAAGTAGTGGTTTGTGAGTCAGCATACATGAGCAATTATGTTCCATTTAGCTCTCAACTGTTTTTTTTTTGTCTTAGTCATTTGGATAGCTAGAGCCCGGGAGGGAAAGACTGTGTGGGACATTGTTCAACATGTGTGGGAAATGAGTGTGTTTTAGTCACTATGAATTGAAACTAGTGAGGGACAGACCTCCAACCAGTCCTTTTTTCTTATATGTGTTTCTTCTAAAGTAAAAACGAAGATCAAGGACATTTGGTAAGCATTATTTCATTTGGTTTTGTTTACATAGCGTTTGATATTCCCCTGGTTATGAAGGGGGTATATGGTTAAGTTTGTAAGCTCAAATTGGATACTACATTTTCTGGAAACTGCTTGCAGAGAGATGGGGGTGCGTCCTTTTCCGAGAGGTTTTAGGATAACGGGAACGTTGGCAAGATAGCTCCAAATACTACATGAAAAGTAGTCGGGAATAACGCGTAACAGCAGGCTCTTTGACTTAATTTAATGCTTGTCGCGTGGTAATTTGGCCATGTCACATGTCAGATATACTGTGTAGTTTTATGATGCAATGCTGTGATAGGCCGAATAAGTTTTATATCAATAAATACAGTATATTTCACAGCGTGAGATAAAGAAGTGGCTTACCCTGCGTGTGTGTGGCTGTATCCCCAGCCTGTACCTTTTGGTTTGTTTGGTTTGGGTCAGTTGGCAGCATAGCAAGGTTTTGCAGAGCAGTGAAGGTATTTAGAAGATAGCTTTCCATTATTGTTTTCGCTGCAGGGTATTCTTTTTAATTGAAAAAATAACCTCCTTTCTTTACCTGCTCTCTTTACTGTAAGCGTTTTCAGAAAGAATTATCTTCCTTGTACAATATCAGGGCAATGTGAAATGTATGTAGCGTGTTAAGGCTTGTATGTAGTGAAAATCTCATTAGCCGTGTTTTTAAACATTTCGAGATCATGACCACCATTCAGTTTGTGTGTTAATGGGTTTTTATACTTTCACATTCATAATAGGTATCGTAATCCAGATCACACGCTAAACAGTGAATCTTTTCAGGATTATGTCAGCATATGTAATTCACTTCAGGAGCTCAATATTCAAGATAATGAGTAAAAGTCATAGAAATTCATTAGTTTTGATTAGATAAAGGTGTGGTATCAGACATTTTTTGATGATCAGACATCTTTTTGGCCTCTTAGCATTGCAAGGTCATTCTTGTTATGACTGTTTCTACTTCTACTACTATTAGAAAAACAGATTATTTTCAAATGAATGGTAAGCAGTTTCTTTCGTTGTATTAAATTATAAAAACATGTATTTACTTCTAAATGTGTGTTTTTGCAGATATTTATTCAGCCTGTTTTGACCCTGCCTCTCCTACCAATACAGGGGAGAATGAGCCATTTCTTTAAAGCATGTGCTATCAGGCTGCTTGTGTCTTTACACACTGTAGACGGAGACAGGAAGCTTCACGTGCTACTCAGAGGACGGGAGTGTCTTTTGTGCTGATAAATCCTCAGTCTTGTGTGTGGCGTGGATATTCTTGGGAGTGGCCTTTGCAGCTGGGGCCGGTTCTTACTTGACTGCCTTCACCCAACCTCATTTGGGCAGTACTAGGCCCAGATTCAGCAAGGACTTCAGATAAATCTGAAGCCGAAAAGATCCTTGGAGCCTCCCTCCCTTCCATTTCTGTCACCCACCACAAACGCTGCTTACACAGGGCCTCCAGTAAAGTAGATGACCCCTCCCACCCCTCCCATAAACTCTTTGCCCTCCTACCATCTGGAAAAAGATATTGCCGTGTACGGGCCAGCTCCACCAGACTCTGGAACACCTTCTTCCCACAGGCTGTCAGGCTCCTCAACACCCTGGAATCTACTTGCACCCACACCAATTCCAGAAACAGAGTTTAAATCCCCCAAGTGTGTTGTGTACATTGTATTATGCATTAGCCTTAGTAATTTGCACTATCTGCACTTTGTACTATGTGTATCCTGTCTACAATGTCTATGTCAGTGTCCTGTCTGTATTTGCACCGCGGACCAGGAGGAACGATATTTCATTCCACTGTATGCTTGTATATGGCTGGAATGACAAACGTGAACTTGAACTTGAAATCTTTCTGGGATGTTCAAGCCTGTGACCTAAACTGCCCGCAACATGAAGGGAGCCTTGAAACTGCAGGTGCACTGTATTGAGATATTCCGCGTTTCAGATCCGAATCCTGGAAGTTTAAATAAGCTGGTTAAACTCTGCATTCTGTCTGCCCATTGCAGCTCTGTGTGCAGCTGTTGGTTCAGTAAGGAAGGAAGTGGGAAGTACTGTGGATGGGGTTGGTGGTGCTGTTGAAGGATGCCATGCTGGTATAGTTTGCTCTTCTTGTTACTGAAGGCCTTTGACCCTCTCGACATTTATTTGAAAGAGGGGGCAGTCCTTCTAAATTGAACTTGAATGTATAATTGTTCAACTATAACAGGAAATTCCATCCATTTGTGTGTTTTCCTTGGTTTTTGTTTTCTTTGGCTTTCAGAACACTGTCTTGGTCTGAATCCATCCTGCATACAGTGCTTTAAAGTACATATACAGTACCACATGGGCTTTTGAATTAGATCATGGAGGTTATGACAGAGTCGCTCTCTGAGGCTCTTCCTGTGTTTAAATTGCTGCATTAATACAGATTTAAGTGCAATGAATATCTCTTAATTATGTGGAACACGCATAAGTAAAAGGTGATATTGTTTACGTCTGAGCAACAAAACTTCGTGGGGTTATTTGCATTGTTTTTTTTCCATAAATACAAAAAAGGGACTGACTTCTTGATGAAAAATTGATTTCTTCTGAGAACCCAGTGCAAAATTAAGGTCTCTGTGCTGTCCCCGTTGTTTTTTACATTATACACTAATGATTGTGTAAGCCACTATGAAAACTGTTTGATTATTAATCGGATGACGTTACCTTGATTTGACTTTGAATGATGACCACAACAATTACAGGAGATAAGAATTTTTTTGTAACTGGTGTCAGGATAATTCCCTGAACACAGGAAATGATCATTGATTTTAGAAAGAAGTTTTCTATCCCTGTGATCCTTTAACTGTTAGTGGAACTGTTACTGAAACAGTACATTAATATAAATTTACAGTATTGACACTGTAATCGAGTGTTAATTGCCTTGGACTACCATTATGGAGGCACAAATACGTTAAAAAATATGTTAAAGTACCGTATGGACTTTTAATGTAGAAAGCGCAATGTTGATACTTTCTTATAAGAGTTTTGTTCAGAGCATCCTAACCTTTTGTGTTCAGACCTGGGGAGGTGCCTTGTTGTTGTAGAACAAAAACTAAACTGAGCAAAGTTATCGGAACCAGTGGCAGGCTTACCAGCATATCCTTGGACTCAACATGTCTAACCGAGCAACATAAAATCTTAGATGACCCCTCTCAACCAGTCTTTTCAGAATATCCTCTGGGAGGTACTAGATAATAATAATAAACATCACTTTATCAACCCTTTACAATTTCTTGCATTAGGAATGATCTTTTTGCATACCCCAGCTTGCTCTCCATGAGACACACAGACAGAGAGAGAAGCTGGGGGTCAGAGCACAGGGTCAGCCATTGTACAGCGCCCCTGGAGCAGTTGGGGTGAAGGGCCTTGCTCAGGGGCCCAACGGTGTAGGATTCCTCTGCCGGCTGCGGGATTTGAACCAGCAACCTTCCAGTCACAGGCGCAGATCCTGAGCCACAGAGCCACTGCTCTGCCCCATTTGTAGATCTTTATAGAATCTTTATAGATCCCCTCTATAAAGACTCAGAGAGCATTTATTTCTTTTATACCTAAAAGCATTCATTTGTTGAACAATGAAAAAGTTGTTTGCAAGATCTTATTGTTGTTGCAGATTGTTGAAAAGGTCATTGGCTGTTTTTTTAATCTTATGGTACTGGAAGAGTTCTGATGGGGCTGTGCATATTTTTGAATATTGTTTTGTATTATGGTATTACACTGTTGTTGTATTGTATTATTGTCTTATACCTGTCTGTTATATGTTTATGAGCTCTTGATGGGGAACACAAATTCCCTTAGGGACAATAAAGGTTAATCCAATCCAAAATTAGTTATTCATTGTAGTGTCAACTAGTGTCACCAAAATGTGTTCATTGTGCAAGAAATACAAATTGGAGAGGGTGGGATTGCTCATGGCAGGGCAAAGGCACTTTGTAGTTTAAAATTTGTGCTACAGCTCACACACTTTATACAAATCTTCTTTCAGATAGGTTGTCTGATAACTGTGGTAGAAAATATTGGCTTAGCCCTCTGTGTCACATGTGTCTGAGTCTGTGAGATACTGTATATGCCAGCAGAGGTGCACAAAAGATCAAGTGGTGCAGATTAACGTGAGTGCTATGAGGATGTAAAGGCAACAGAAGGAGTATACTGTGGCATGTGACACATGTCCAGGCTCTTGTGGAATGCAATTAAATAAAGAGGAGAGCATACTGAGCCTGTTCTGAAACAGGCCATCGATTTCCAGAATAATGCACTGGTATCAAATTAATGAAATGATCGGATTGACTCAGCATAAGCACGTGTTGAAGTCTGGGTAAAAAATAATTGCTCTGTAGCAGCATAAGCAGATAGAAGTCATGTCCGTCGTTGGTCTCTACCAGTTTTAGTTTTTGCATTTGCTAGATATTACCGAGGTGCTGAGGACCATACTGTATTTGGGCTTGTTGAAAGGCAGACGACACAATATCATTATATCTCTTATATCTCAGTTCTGTGGCTGTGTGGCATAGTGGTGTCGCTGCAGTCGAAACGAAACGTCAGGCTCTAATGGAGTCTGAGGGTATAAATTAAAAAGGAACAAGTGTGTTAAAGTTGCCACGTTTGACCAGAAATTAGCCAGCTGATCAAGCTGATGAGAAAAGAAGGTTTGTTCAGAGTATTATGGAAGTTTACTGTAGTAAATT